TATCTTGCTAATTATCACATTTAATCACCATATTTTGGTAAAAAGCACAAAGTTTAATCACTATATCTTGCTATTTGGCATTATTATTCTGTGAAATATTTCTGTTTGTTGCTTTCATAGTTCTTCATACAATGAAGGAACGTTTCCATTACTGTCTAAACATGTGTAAATCGCTTAGCAGCTCTGGCATCCTTCAGGCCACCGGAGTGGATCCCACTTCCTGCAACATAGCTGCAGATCGTCTTCTGTATGATTATGCTATTGAAATGGTAGTTTTTTTTTATTTCTCTTAGTTTGTATTAATGATTAACACTGGTATTTTGGCTGAGAATGAGTTATTATTTTGTATATAAATTTCTTCATAATTAGATGAATGTTTAAGTACCTGTGTTTCTCATAGTATGTTTGTTTATGATTTGTGTCTGATTAAAGAATAAAGCTATCATATATTACCTCAAACCCTTATCTTTTTTTTTATTTACATATAAGTTTTCTGTTCTTTAGGTAGAAACATGTTTACTGTGTGTTTATAAACCTCTTAGCTCAATTTGACATCAAAGGCTATGAGTCATTCATGAAGTAAACTTTATTTGAATTGATTGTACAATTCTTCAGTTGTAGAAATCTGACATTTTTTATTATAAAGGATAAGACAAGACTTAGCTAAATAATGATAGTTTTTTTCAACAAAAAATCTTTGAATGCGTAATTATTATTATTTAAGTTGTTTTGCCTTGTGCTTCATCTAGAACTTTATGTTAAAACTGAAATTTGTCAAAATAGAAAAAGTATAACATTTAACTTAGTAAACTTTTCCTCTATTGTTTCTAGATTGTTATATAAGTTTAAACAGAAAACTAATCTGGTTGAATAATGTTACTTTTTTCTTTAGTTTTTCATCTGTGTTTAACATGAAAGCTAAATAAATTTGGTTAAGATTATACTGTGTTTAATCCTCTCACCCTGAGTATCATTTACTGTGCATAACACAAGGTTTTAGTGTCTTGCATTCAAAATTTAATTAGTATAATTTAATTTATTAAACTATTTTTTGTTTATATTATACCAATTAGTATAGCATAAAATCTTAGCTAATAATCTATATTTTAATAGTATATTAGTTTTATGTTTTTAATTTTATAAAACAATATTAAAAAAATCCTGAATTTACCCTAGTGTGACACACCTGACACATTTTCTCTAAGTATATTCTCATCTCTATTTTATCCAGGCGCCACATACCCCAAAAACCACGAAATTAAATGTAAATTACTCACTATAAAATCGTCATTGCTCATACAAACCAGGATTTGTTAATAGTTTTCTCTTACATTTAATTGTATATACCTGTAACCAATATAAATCCAAGATTTTCATCTATTATGTTGTGTTCTGAACATAATTTCACTTCTAATACAACTTTGTTTCTCACAGGTATCACAACATCTAGCTTTGATGCATTTGTAATGGATCTTGTTAGAAAGCCAGAAAAATTGTGATTGTCAGAGGAAATTGTCTGGTTTTTGAATGTTAGTTTATGTTTTTTGGTGCATTATTTAATTAGATAAAAATTATTTAGTGCACTACTGCCATTAGCTTTAAAAAAAAAAAAGTAGGGTTAAGTGTCATCGATAGTCAGGTAAGTACTTTATTTATTGTTTTCATGTTTATTCTTTATTTATTATTATAAAAGTAACTAAAATGTAAAAACAGAGATATCTTTAGGTTAGTTAAGGTAAAATAAATAATATTATAATTAAAATGTTTCATGAGGCACGCAGGCAAGCAGCTCATGGGTAATGTAATTCGATAGCGTAACATGAGCTGCATGTTCCCCCATTTTTACATTTTAGTTACTTTTATAATAATAAATAAAGAATAAACATGAAAAATAAGAAATAAAGTACTTACCTAATCTTCTTTTTTTCTTTCTGTTGATTGTCAATGACACTTACTTAACCCTGTTTTTTTTATACTAATGGTAGTAATGCATCAAACAATTTAGACTAATAAAATGAAAAAAGTAGACAATTTCTCTTGACTCTCAAAATTCTTCTGGCTTCCTAGCTATTCAAAAAGAGCCATTACAAATTCATCCAAGCTAATCATTAGCTTTCCCACAGTAATGGAGCTTGTACTCTGAGTGAAATTGATGATTATCTGCTCTGAACACAACATAATAGAATGTCATTTGACAGATGAACACCTTGGCTTTCTATTGGTTATACATAATGGAGTATTAAGAATAAGAGAGAACTATTAACAAACTTTGTAAACTGTTGGCAAAAGCAGATCAATAGACTTTTTTGCACCCATCTTCTATCTTTTTGAAACAGAGAGAGTAGTGAGCTGCACTTTTTATTTAAGCATTTTTGATTTTTTTCCTAAATAAAACTCAATTTCAACCCAAATATTTATTCAGTTTTGACTATATGAAAGAAATTCACTTGATTTTAACACCCTTTTTTTTATTAAAAAGTTCCACCTGATATCAGATTCAACCCAAATATTTATTCATTCTTGATTATAGAAATTCACTAGAATTTGACCCCTGATTTTTAAAAATATTGACTCGAATTTAGGAACAGACTTTATCTCAAAATCAGAACCCCCCTAAAGATATCTATCTTTGAATATTACATGCTTTTGATCTGGATTTTTTTGATTAAATTGCATTGCTACATTAAAATTATAATAGTATATAATTTAAAATCCTAATGGAGGTGTTTTAGAATTTGATATTATGACTGGTAATAATGTGTAACTAACTATCAATATTCATAGGAAATTCTGTTTAGAGTGCTATTTATGTTGCAATAAGTAGAATAACCATAACTTATTTTCTCAAGTCTTTGCATATAATTAAATTAAATTTGCTTTATTACATATATGTAAATATATATAGATATGTATATATATATATGTGTCTGTATGTATGTATGTATGTATGTATATATTGCTGTGCTACTGTGATAAATATTGCTTGACTCATGATTTATAAAATTTGTTTAGTATTAAAGTGCTGTTTTATCTTTTGCTATTACATAAGAATAAATTGATATAGAAGCTTATTTGGAGGAAATAAACTTATTGTTTGTTAAATATTCAGATTTCTACTTATTTTTCAAGGCTATGCAGATCAAAACCAAAGGTCTCCAGTGAGAGAAGTTGTGTGGTTTAATGTATTAAGAACACAGTTTACATGAATGTGTTTGATGTTGGACTTGTGAAATAGTTCAGAATCTACAAGATGCAAACAACTAAAAATATCTGGCATATGCATGTTTAACTTGTCAGATAGTTTAAGATCTATAACTAAGACACAAGCAACTAAAAATATCTGACATATACATTCTTATGCCAGTGTTATTATAATATAGAATTTTCAGAATTAAATGATTTTGTATATTATACTAATTTTATGATTTTATCGAAGTGTCAGTCAGCTGCATTGGAGGAGCTATTTGGGAAGAATCCAAAGAAGGTAAAAATCTTTGCTTGCAAAAATTACTCTTGTTAATGAGTTTAGATTTCTGGGTAGTTTATTTTCTCAGTCTATATAATATAGAAATGTCAAAATTAGTGTTGCTGAAAAGTGTTGAGTAGAAGAATATGAATGGGTGAATGTGATGCAGTAAAATTTTAAACAGCATAGACATTTTTTTGAAAACTATTTGCATTATTAACAATTCAAAAGACAAAATATTGCATAAAAGACATTTCATTAGTTATAAATGTAAGTAAATTTATCAAAATGTTAAATCTTTTTAGTTTCAGCATAGTATAACTGAGAAAATATGCAGCTGTAATAAAAGTACACAGAGAATGCAGATTTTCAAACACATCTACTACATCAACAAAAGTTTAAAGTATAATGAGTTGTACATTACTGTGAAAAGAATATTCTTATATAGTATCAAATTGATAATATGTTAACGTAGTCAAATAATTAGAAATAGAACAATACCTGTTTGTATTGTAATAAAAAGTGAGTGGCATCTGTTTTAAATGAATTTATAAGTAAACCTATGATGTGTTGCATTCCATAAGCTCTTAAGTCAAATGAAGCCAAAAGCTTGCATTGAATAGTATGTGCAGCAAAAATTCCACTTCATTTACTTTTAACAAATATTATTCACTTTCTAATGTAAAACCTAATCATAAAGCTTGATACACTTGTAGTAGCAAAATATGCAAGGTATCCAGACTTCATCAAATTAAAATTTTGTGTGAATTTTCTTGACTTAGCTCTTGTTTGCAGCATAGATCACATACATGCTATTATGGAAGCTGATTGGTTGATTGTGGTTATCTTTTTCACAATTTTCTTAAGACAGAGAGTTTTTTAAAATATTTATCATGATAGATGTGGACTTTGAAATTCATAGAGATTATAATTGTTAATTCTTTGTCACAGAAAGAAATCACACTAAAGCAAAAATATTTGACAGATTATATTTTAAGATAATGTTCTGGAAGCTTCTCTAGTTAAAGATCAGAACATGAAATATAAATTTACTACAACTGACTATAATGAGCTAAATTTTAATTCTATGCAAGTGAATGTCAGTTTTTTCTTTTACAATAGTATAAATAAAGTTTGTTTTCCTTATCATTTTGTATACAATTAATCTATGAAAAAATGTGTAATACTGTTTAACTCTCAATTTATTATTAGAAAATTTTACTGTTTTTTTATCTCAGAATGGAAAATACTAAATACCACCAACAGTATAAAAAATAGTTATTTGTAAGAAATGTTTCATTTTGCTTTGCTTCTGTAGAATATTCAAATAATAAAACAGTTGAAAGTAACTTGCACAATATTTTGCACAAGTAACAAAGTTCAAATACCCTGTTATGAAATCTAAAAGTACAAAGCAGTAATTAAAATATATAGTCTTCCAGTTCAAAATTAGAGGCTAGGACAGATGACACTTGTGTAAATTTGCATAAATATCTGAAAAAAATTCAAATAAATATGTTATATTGGTGACATATTGGATTGAAATAACTATTTATCATTATTGCTATAAAGTTCAATTCCAATAATCATCTTTAACTGTTTTAGGATTAAAAGATACCTGTCATTATTGCTTTCATATAATTATCTAATATTGTTGGCAGTATGTTGTTTCAAATGATTATCTAGGATTCTTGTTAAAATGTTGATTACAAATAACTATCTGTCACCATTAGCAACATCTTGGCTTTAAATAACTGTCTTAACATTATTACATGTTTGCTGCAAAAAACGTCTAGCATTGATGAAGTAAATGATAAACAGGTTTAAGTTTCCTAAAATATGAGTTTCAAACTTTTGTGTGGTACAATTTTTATTAATGCTTACAGGTTCTATTTTATTAAATGTTAGCAAAAAATGTTATTACTTAAGACTTTGATTTATCAAAAGTGTAGTATGATCCACTGCATATGTTGTTATTTTATAGATACAATGTAGTAAGATTAAGAAACAATTGATATAAAGAGAAAATAATGTTTATAATTATTTTGTGTTCAGTAAATCAGGTAAACATTTTAAAGTTGTTTTTTTTTTAATGTCCTCTAAAATGGGATTATTAGGGACAGACCAATGTTGTGTCCAAACATGTAATATGTTCCCTAAAGTAAAACCACTTCATTATTCTCATAAGTCATTGATTGTCAATGTATTATGGCTTTTATTTACAGTTGCAAAGAAAGTTTCTACTTTACCAACAATGGACTACTATTCTTAAATTACTTTCGAGGGAAAAGTTGTTTAATTGTCTTCATCACTTCTGCAATATAGCTGATAAAATACCATGTTTTTTTTCCCTACTCGATTCTCACCTTTTTTTCCATTATTGATAATTTCAACACTAAAGATATCACTTTCTTCAAAACTTAATGCTTTTCTAATTGTGTAATAGAAGAATTTTGAGTTGAAAAACTCCTAAAATTCAGAAGGAGTCAACTCTAGATACCATATGCATTGAAAATCACCACACTTCAACAAAATTGAAACACATGGGAATGGGCAAGAGCAAGGTGTACTGTTTTCCATGTTGTTTCAATAGATTGTGAAAAACCCTCTGTAATTTTGTAATGTTGGTGGGTACTGTAGCTCTCTTACAGTTCTAATGTTGGTGGGTACTGTATTTCTCTTACAGTTCTAATGTTGGTGGGTACTGTATTTCTCTTACAGTTCTAATGTTGGTGGGTACTGTATTTCTCTTACAGTTCTAATGTTGGTGGGTACTGTATTTCTCTTACAGTTCTAATGTTGGTGGGTATTGTAGTTCTCTTACAGTGCTAATGTTGGTGGTTACTGTAGTTCTCTTAAAGTTCTAATGTTGGTGGGTACTGTAGTTCTCTTAAAGTTCTAATGTTGGTGGGTACTGTAGCTCTTATACAGTTCTAATGTTTGTAGGTACTGTAGCTCTTATACAGTTCTGATGTTTCTGGGTACTGTAGCTGTCTTATAGTTCTAATGTTGGTGGGTACTGTAGCTCTCTTGCAGTTCTAATGTTGGTGGGTACTGTAGCTCTCTTGCAGTTCTAATGTTTGTGGGTACTGTAGCTCTTATACAGTTCTAATGTTTCTGGGTACTGTAGCTGTCTTATAGTTCTAATGTTGGTGGGTACTGTAGTTCTCTTACAATTCTAATGTTGGTGGTTACTGTAGCTCTTATACAGTTCTAATGTTGGTGGGTACTGTAGCTGTCTTATAGTTCTAATGTTGGTGGGTACTGTAGCTCTCTTGCAGTTCTAATGTTGGTGGGTACTGTAGCTCTCTTGCAGTTCTAATGTTGGTGGGTACTGTAGCTCTCTTGCAGTTCTAATGTTGGTGGGTACTGTAGCTCTCTTGCAGTTCTAATGTTGGTGGGTACTGTAGCTCTCTTACAGTTCTAATGTTGATGAGTACTGTAGCTTTCTTACAGTTCTGATGTTGATGAGTACTGTAGCTTTTTTACAGTTCTGATGTTGATGAGTACTGTAGTTCTTATACACTTCTAATGTTGGTGGGTACTGTATCTCTCTTACAGTTGTAATGTTGGTGGGTACTGTAGCTCTCTTACAGTTTTAATGGTGGTGGGTACTGTAGCTCTTTTACAGTTTTAATGGTGGTGGGTACTGTAGCTCTCTTACAGTTTTAATGGTGGTGGGTACTGTAGCTCTCTTACAGTTCTAATGTTGGTGGTTACTTTAGCTGTCTTACAGTTCTAATGTTGGTGGGTACTGTAGCTCTTATACAGTTCTAATGTTGGTGGGTACTGTAGCTCTTATACAGTTCTAATGTTGGTGGGTGCTGTAGTTCTCTTACAGTTCTAATGTTGGTGGATACTGTAGCTCTCTCACAGTTCTAATGGTGATGAGTACTGTAGCTCTCTTACAGTTCTAATGTTGATGAGTACTATAGCTCTCTTACAGTTCTAATGTTGATGAGTACTAT